CTTCATATATAGACATCAGGCTTATCTAATATTTTATTTTTACGCTTATTTTTATTCTTAATTCAATTAAGCTACACAATTAAGCATAAAACACATAATACTCAAATAATACATTCTTATTATTTCAAAATGAGTTACAAAGGTTAACCTAGACTATTACATCGATATTAATGACTAGCCCAGAAACACCGACGTTACAGTTCTTATAAAGAAAAAATTCTGAAGAAGTTGATGATGAAATATGCAACATCAATTTTAACTTCTGAGATTACTACGAACCGTGATGTTGTGTTGAAAGTTGTGTATGAGTATCAAAAATTTGATCCAAAGATTTGTGGTAAGCATTCATATAATGCCCAATGGAATATAGAAACAAGCCTATCAAGTTTTTTTATTGAAGATTTTCTGATTTTAGAAGTAAATGGATGATGGGTGATTATATTTCATACTGTTTATATGATTAATCATATATTGTACTATATAATCATATATGATTATATGTCTTAATTTATAAGTAATTATATTTCATACTGTTTAATCATGTATGACTAATCATATGTATTTATAGTTTGTAATATATGATTAATCATTTTATGATATATAATCATATATGATTATTCATCCTAATATATGATTAATATATATTTCAATTTGAAAACACATATGATAAATTATATTTATTTGTACAATATCTTATATGATTAATCACATATTATACTGTATAATCATATATGATTATACTATTTAATATATAATTAATCATATATTTAAATATGTGAACACATATGATAAGTCATATGTTTTTTTAAATTGTTATATACGATTAATCAATTATTATTATGTATAATCATATATAATACATCTTAATATATAATTAATCATAGTTCGTATTGTATAATAATGTATGATTAGTTGTATTTCTTATATATTACAATGCGTATTCATATATGATTATACAGTTTAATATATGATTTATCATATGAGATACACGTATGATTAAATCATATGTGTTTGTACATTGAAATATATGATTAATCATAAATTATAACATATAATCGTTTATGATTATGCAGTGTAAGATATTATTAATACAAGATCAGTTATGTTTTTTTGTTTATGACTGAATAAAAATTCAGAATCAACTTTCTAAATTGTAATGTAATATGTAGTATTAAAACGAATTATTTGTACCTTGAATACCAATCGTATTTTGAAGTTCTTTGTGTTGATTTTCAGAAGTTAAAGAAATTGAATCGATTTGTTCGTCGTTAAGAGATGAATTGATTTCAGCTACAACAGTATCAGTTGCGATCGACTCGACAATTTCTTTTGAATTCGACATCATTTATGAAAATTGATTTTGATTCAATTTTCAAATGCTCTGTCGCTCTCTTGAATTGCGATGATGAATGTTATGTGCTTGTTTATTCGATTTGAGGATTATGTCTCGTATTTATGAAAATATGAACTGATGCTCTGTTTCGATCATTTTTTTTTCAATTTGAAGATTACAATTAATTTGATAACAGATTCAGTAAAAATAGGAACTTTAAGATGATATTGAATGAATTTTGAAGCTCGAATGATATGATTATGTGATTGATACTGAGAATCAATGATTTAGCGATAAATTGTTTTTTGTTTCGTAATCATATTTCATAGAAGGAATGTGTGCGCTTTCTAAACATCAAGTTGAAATTTACTGTTATACCCTGCATCATTTAACAGTTGATGAAAGTTGAGGTTAAGTTTCATTGGCTGGGGTTTAATCTCACAATCTCTATTTTTTTTATTAATCTCAAGGGACCCATCATCTCTCTCTTTTATATATATATATATATATATATATATATATATATATATATATATATATATATATATATATATATATATATATAAGTTTTTACTTTACTCCTTATTGTTTTATAACTTTGTTATTTTATGATTCTAGTTTAATTTTTTATGACCCTTTTTAATATCTAATAATATATAAATCCAAATATATACTGCCATCCGTTTCTTATCTTTATTTCCATAAAAAGTTTTTTTCAGTTGTGTGTAACATTAGTTATTTTTGGGTTTAATATTTTATTCTATTGAATACGATTGGATTTTACGGTCATATATGTTATTTCATTACATGGATAAAAAATGTATAAGTTATTTTCATAAAGTATGATATATATGTAGTCTCAAAAACCATATTAAATAAATGAACAAGCATAAATATTCAACTTTAAGAACCGTACAAGTATAAATCTATTTTTATTAACTATCACATAATACAAAATTTTGAAATCTTATAATTACTATTCTTTTTTTTTTCAACATTCATTTCTAGTCAGATGTCTTGGATAATAATGACCTTCCAAATATAATGACGACATATGGTTAAGAAGTTAACATATTATTTTTATTTTCGAAAAATCATCTACTAACAAATAATTTTATTTTTTGTTGTTTCAAATTTCTTATTTGGTATTTGTTAACGTACCCCTTTAGTTATACATCAAAGATAACGAAGCAGTTATCTAAAAAATGACCTACCTAATGGTTGCTACCCAACGTAAGTGCTAGGCCCGGACCCTTGCCCTCGCGGCCTCGCACTTAGATTCCGGCGCTCTAGCGCCAAGGTCCAACCTAGAACGAGAAACTCCGGTCTATAGTAAGCGAAAACAATACCAACCGCTTCCCAGAGCGACAAGTTTAGCGCTCAGAATGTTGTCATTCGGTGGTTCTGCACCAATAGCAAATAACCGCTAGTGGTGCACGATCTCCCAATAGGACGCCTCCACGCCCTGTTGGTCCAGATAAGACAAAATATACTGTCGGAGACATGCTCCCACGACGATGAGTATAAATCAAATAGATCTGGAGAAAATTAAAGGAATAAATTAAATAGATCTCAACCGACATTGTTAAAGGATTTTAGCACACCAATACTCTCTCTCTCTCTCTCTCTCTCTCTCTCTCTCTCTCTCTCTCTCTCTCTCTCTCTCTCTCTCTCTCTCTCTCTCTCTCTCTCTCTCTCTCTCTCAAAAAGCTTACGCACTTGCTTGTCTCCTAAGACTCCAACCATCTCCGGTTTGCTTGTGTTCTACTGTTATCCTTGTTATCTTTATGAGTTATGAAGAAGATGAGGTAATGCTTTTTGAATTTTAAGGTTGTGGGGTGTCGTATTTTTTTTTACCGCCGGTATGCCTATGTGGCACTCTTTACCGACGGTGAACACCGCCCCCTTCATTTTGTTTTACATGTGGTAAAGTATCGGCGGTGGATATTCACCGATGGAAAAAATCAATTTTGTGTGGGGTTTTTGCAAGGTTCTAAATAACGTGAGACGTGACTTGGCGGCAAGGTAAAAGTTTATTATTTTGAAAAAAATTCTATTGTACGAGAGACATATTAATTATTGTATATATTTTCTTATATTGAACTACTAATATATAAAAGTTTATTATTTTGAAAAAAATTCTATTGTTTGTCTGTGTTTTGGCCCCTTTACTTTTATTGTTTGTGTTCCATCATTGACAATTCTAAACACGAAAACCAAGCAATAAGCAGATCTTTACAATTCTAAACGCGAAAACCAAACAATAAGCAGATCTTCACATGGAGATAACAAATCTAGATTTGGAGAGGAAGAATAATGTTTATAAATCTGACATTTGAAAAATATGAAACTAGGTCAGAAGTAACTCAGATTTAGAATCACGAACAAGAACAATAAAAACGATGCACATATATGGAAGGGTGGCGATGGTGATGACGGATTTGAAGCTTGTAAGTGGTTGATGATAGTGGTGGTGGATTGACGTCGTTGACAATAGTGGTTCACCGAATTAATACATATAATAAAAATATTATAAAAACATGTGAATAACTTAATCATCTGTGATTAATACATATAATAAAAAGAATGTTTGTTTAAAAAAGTATTATATCGATATTAATGTTCATCGTGAAAATCGTGTGGTTCTATGAAACCATGTGCTATGGCTCGATAGGTACAGCTGACAACTGAATCCTATTTTCCCATTATTTTCAAGAATAGTGTTGTTGAGTTTCTCGATCTTTTGCCTTAGGATTAATCAGTTCTATTTCTCGACGGGGGCAGGGAAGGGATATAACTCAACGGTAGAGTGTCACCTTGAAGTGGTGGAAGTCATCAGTTCGAGCCTAATTATCCCTAAACCCAATGTGAGTTTTGATATTTTGATTTGCTACCCCGCCGTGATTGAATGAGAATGGATAAGAGGCACATGGGATTGACGTGAGGGGACAGGGATGACTATATTTATAAAGAACTAAAAATTAAAATTTATAATATATTCGAAAAACAAAATCGATTAAAGTAACATTCTAAAATGGATTGTCAATATTATTTATCGCGTTTCCGATTTCATAATTATATATATATATATATATATATATATATATATATATATATATATATATATATATATATATATATATATATATATATATATATGAAAATTTGTTAAAAACATATGTTTTGAATATATTATTATATTAAAAATAAGATGACAAAATTTTAAAGTAAACAGATTGAAAAGTTAAAAGGGTAAATATTGTTTATTGTTATAAGTTTTAGGGTATTAAATGAAAATATTTGACAAATATAATGGATTGGACGGATTGGATGTGAAGGCAAGTAAAACAACGGATTTTTATGCAGTACACGAATTCATTCGTGCATATAGGACAACCCATAAACGGCGGTCAATATGAATGTATTACTTTTGAACTTGACGTCTTCATGTCCACTTTTTTTTTTCAAAGCTGAAGTCTTCAAGTCATGTAGTGGGTAGTCGAAAGTCCATCGCACGAGCTAGAAAATTTGGTGTTAAGCACATGCACAACTGTAATTTTTCTGCTAAAAATCTATATGGATAGAGATTGATATCTATCTATCGAAAGTATGCCCTGAACCATCTTCATCTAATTACTGCCCACCAATTTCAAGAACAGGTGAATTAATGGAGGTTTTTCACATCCTTGTGTTACTCTCCACTACTGTATTATGTATCTTGTCATGTTCCGCTGCACTAGATATAGTATCTGCACATCAACGAATCAAAGATGGCAACACCATTGTTTCAGCTGGCGAGATATATGAAATGGGTTTTTTTAGCCCAGGAAAGTCAAAGAACCGATACCTCGGGATATGGTACAAGAAGATATCTCCTTGTACGGTTGTTTGGGTTGCTAACAGGGAGATACCAATCAACGATGCATCTGGTGTGTTTGAAGTCACTAGAGAAGGAAGCCTCCTGATTCTTAGTGATAGTAATACAGTGATCTGGTCATCGAATTCAACAGTACCTGTCAAGGATGTTAATCCAGTAGCACAGCTTCTGGACAACGGAAATCTTGTTGTGTGGGGAAGTAGCGAAAAAGAAAATCTCATCTGGCAAAGTTTTGACTATCCTGGGAACACATCCTACCAGGAATGAAATTCGGGAAGGATTTAATAACAGGAAGAGAGAGGTACTTAACATCATGGAAGAGCCCTGATGATCCATCTGTAGGACGTTATAAAATCTGGATAGACACAAATGGATATCCACAATTATTTGTTGGAGACAGTTTATTTAGACGCTCTAGGCTTGGACCATGGAACGGTTTAGGGTTTCGTGGTCTTGCTTTGGAAAACCTAAATTTGGTCTACTACGCTGAGTTTGCTGTTAACCAGAAGGAAATATATTATCGATATAAACTTAAGAGTTCAATTGTTCTGAGAAGGGTTCTTATGCATGATGGAAACCTAGTGCAGTCCAATTGGATTGAGAGAACCCAAGAATGGGTCATGTATGGAAATCCAATTTTAGTTGATAATTGTAGTGGTTATGGAAGCTGTGGACCTTATGGAAGCTGCAGCGTAAAACTTCCACCTTGTAATTGTATTGATGGTTTTGAACCAAGAGTCCCCAAAGAATGGAATACAGGAGATTGGTCGAGTGGGTGTCAACGTAAAAAGCCTTTGGATTGTGGGAGTGGGACTCAAATGGATGGATTCCAGAAAATTTCAGGAGTGAAATTCCCAGACACACGACGATCTTGGTACAACGTGAGCATGTCCCTTGGAGAATGTGAGATGGCTTGCAGAAGGAATTGCTCTTGTACAGCTTATGCAGAATTATATATAAAAAACGGGGAGAGTGGAAGTGGATGTTTGCTATGGTTTGATGCGCTGATGGACATTAGAGAATATGATGATAATCAAGAACTATATATAAGAATGGCAACCTCCGAGTTACCTGGTACATATTTTATTCTATATGTAACATTAAAAGAATTGTAACCATCCTAATTATTATATATGTTTGTTCATTAGCAATAGGCGAATCAAGATTTAACAACAAGAAGGGAGTACTCAGGGTAGCGGTGTCGGTTTCTTTAGCTGCAGTGCTTCTGTCTGTAGTAGTATATGTTTATAGAAAGAAAATGAAGAGGTCTCACAAAAAAGGACGAGGTAACATGGAGACAAGTCCTTTATTATGCTTCTAGATATGCTATGTTTACAAACATTATTACCAATTACAAATTTGCAAGAGTATGATTTCTGGCAAGATTGGCGTAATCATGGGAATCTGGAAATGAACTTTTTGTAGGAATCAGGGTACATACGGTTGATAAGGATCATACGAGTGCTCAGATGGAAAACCTTGATGAAGTACCTTTTTTTAGCTTGCATAAAATAGCTAAGGCTACTGATAACTTTAACATTGATAATAAGATTGGAGAAGGTGGTTTTGGTCCAGTTTACAAGGTAACTTACTGATGTCTTTTTTAATAAAATGCAATATAATTACTTCACTTCCATCAAAGAAATATTAGGATCATAAGTTCAAATAATTTTTTTAGGGTGTGCTGGAAGATGGGCAAGTAATCGTTGTAAAGCGTCTTGCAGAAACTTCCCAACAAGGGCTTGATGAGTTCCAAAATGAAGTCATTTGTATTGCCAAACTTCAACATCGAAATCTTGTAAAGCTCCTTGGATACTGCATTCATGGAAATGAAAAGATGCTAATTTATGAATACATGGTTAACAAAAGCTTGGACTCATTTCTATTTGGTTTGCCTCCCTCAAGTGCCTTACTTTCACACTTGTTGTAGTAACATGCATGTACTAAGTAATTCATATTGGGCAGATGAAACAAGAGATTCAATGCTTGACTGGCCTCAACGCTTGCACATTATCCATGGTATAGCTCGAGGCATTCTTTATATACATCAAGATTTACGCCTCCAAATCATTCATAGAGACCTCAAGGCAGGTAATATCTTGTTGGACAGTGAAATGAATCCAAAAATATCGGACTTTGGCCTTGCTCGGAAGTTTGTAGGACATGATGTCATGGCTAAGACAAAGAAGGTGGTTGGCACACTGTAAGAATCTGTAAAACACGACGCACTAGATTAACGTTAACATTTCTTTACTTGACAAGGAGATAATACAAGCAAAAGTAGCATGCTACTAATATGTGTTTATTAATCGAACATTGTTGCAGTGGTTACATTCCTCCTGAGTATGCAGTACATGGGCGTTTCTCTATAAAGTCAGATGTATTTAGCTTTGGCGTAATTGTGTTGGAGATAGTAAGTGGGAAGAAAAACAGAAGGTTCTCTCATTAGGCTCACAGTGACAACCTTCTTGGACATGTAAGTCAATGTGGTAGACTAAAAGGGACCACAAACTATTGTTTTCTTTAGCAAGCCCTTTAGCATTATATTAAGTTTGGTTTTTTCAGGCATGGAGACTCTATAAAGAAGACAAGTCCATTGAACTCATGAGTGCATCTTTACGAAACTCATGTGTTGTCTTTGAAGTACTACGTTCAATACATATTGGATTATTATGCGTTCAACATCATACAGAAGATAGGTCAACTATGTTGTCCGTGGTTTTGATGCTGATTAGCGAGGGTGCACTGCCTCAACCTAAACAACCAACATTTTTCACAGATGAAAGTTATCGTGAACCTGACTCTGTTTCATCGGTCGATGAGTACATGCTAACAATATTGTATGCTAGATGAAAACCATGTGCTTCAGTTTTGCTCTTTCCAGATCTGAAACATCGATTCTATGGCTTTAGCTCTCTAAATAATTTCACTTAATAGCTTTATGTTACCATTCAATCAAGTTTTGTAGCATAGTTTGTATCCGTGTGTAACGTCAAGTTCTTTATTTAGCCCGTTCTTAGGTGTTATTATGTATCATAAGTCTGTAACTAAATAAAAGTTTGACCTTTCCGGTATGCCAAGATATGTTTCACATATTTCTGACACTACACAAGTCATATAGTATCATTTATCTGCTGGATTGACAAAATATGGAAATAACACATTGTCATATATGTAGAACTTCAGTCTGATGCCTTAAGATGATTAAGAGACACAAAAATAAGATAAACACTGTTTTGATAGATATATAGCGAACAACTACACATTTACTTTCATACACATACATATATATAACTATATTCTGCAACTGCCATAATTTTTTTTTATAAGATTTCCTAAAAATAATTATCATGAGAAAAATAATTTTAAGGACTCTTTGTCATTTTTTCTGTTTCCCAAGTATCTAATTTTTTCGTCCATCCCCAAAAGTCTTCAATTTAGGAAAGCTGAAACACTATCTTATCTTTAAATATATTTTCACAAAATTATCTTTAACAACTATTGGAAAATATAGTTTCTCAATTATTTTAATGTTTACTCCTTCCTATTTAACATATAATACACTGGTATTCAACCTAGTGAAGGTGTGTGTTTGTGCGCGCGCACGTATGTGTGTGTATATATATATATATATATATATATATATATATATATATATATATATATATATATATATATCTATCTATACTAGGTGTAAGACCCGTGTATTACACGGATTAATTAAAAAAAATATTAAATAGTAAAAGTGTAACAATAATTATTTTTTAAAATAAAATTTAGAAATAAGAAATATAGAAAGTTGTTAATTGCAATTTACTATCACATTTATTAAATTTTAATTTTAATACGTTATATATATAAGTATAACTATTATGTGGCTTTTTAATTTTAAAATTTGAAAAAAATCAAAAATTGACATGTGGATATTATTTATTTTAAAAATATCATAAAATGATAAGTATCAAAACTCATGAGAGATTGACATGTGGCAAAATGGATCTTTATATATATATATATATATATATATATATATATATATATATATATATATATATAAGAACATAAGAAAATATCTATTATATAATATGATTTTAATAATGTAGTTTTAGCTTTAATCTATGATAGAAATCGGTCGTACTTTCTGGAACGATTTTGGTCTAGTTTTAAAAAAATAATGATGAGATTGATTAGTGATTGGCGGTTTGGTCTAGACCAAAACAAATCAATCTAGTCTTTTTTTTGGATGGTCATCATGATTAGTTTCAATTCTAATTTTTTCATGCCAATTTTAACTAATCAGTAGTTGATTGATTTTTACATAATCAAATTTAGATTGTATCTTAATTGAAAGTAAATTTTACATTTGGTTACAAAAATACATCCAAATTCTAACCTTTAGAAAAGTATGTAAGACGTAGTCAAGATTAGTCAACACCAAATATGATTATGCCCTGTAACTAATCAAGATTTGTGATTTAAATAATATGGGATAAGTTATAACCCACAAGGCTCATCATTCCTAGCTAACATGCTAAAAAAATCCTTTGAGGTAGCTAAGAAAGTAACTTAGATATAACTTATATAAAGCTTATATCAAATGATATATGGTTTTTATCCAAAAGTGAGTGTTTAAGTTTTATTTGTGATAAAAAAATATTTTTAAATATAAGAATAGATTTATGAGTTATTTGGCTAAAAAAGAACAAAAAAAGCTAATTGAGAACCTTATTAAATTCTATAAGCATATGGGAATGACATGTTACATTGGACCATTATTACAATTTTTTTTTTTTGATTGATAATTTTTTCTTATATTCATTTAAATTTTCAATTTTACCCTTTTATCACTGTTTTGTTTTGTTTTGTTTTTTTAATAAGACTCATATTAAAACCTTATAACAATATGAAAAAAATATTAAGAAAGAAAATGAATTGTAAGTCTCTTACATGCTATTGATGATACTACTATCTCTTTATAATACAAAAGTATGTTATTATTCTGTAACTATTTCTAACTAACAATAATTACAATAGATTAATCAACTAACTCACTGATAACAAACGAAATATGGAGATAAAGAAAATGAATTGAAATTATGTTACATGTTATTGATGATACTACTTTATATTCATAATACAAAAGTACATTGTTATTTTATAACTATTTCTAACTAACAATAATTACAATGGATTAACCAACTAACTGAAATGATAACAAATTTTCTCCGCATGTTGAATCTTAACATCCTACCCTCAAGTTGGACCTTAGTGAATATTTTGAAGGTTCAACTTAAACAAAAGAATATATTATCAATAGTTAATGACATTGTACACTCTTTCCAACAGAAACATGTTATGATCATTTCTTTTCGTATTAGAAGAAGAATTGACATTATTGTCGATAATTGGACTGGAATTCATGATTTGCGAAGAAATAAGAACTAGTAATCGAGTCAAGAATTAGGATAGATTTGAAAAATGCTCTGATACCATTCTAACAATATGAACAATATATATATATATATATATATATATATATATATATATATATATATATATATATATATATATATATATATATATATATATATATATATATATAGAGAGAGAGAGAGAGAGAGAGAGAGAGAGAGATAATGAATTGTAATTCTGTTACATGTTATTGTCGATGCTACTTTCTATTTATAATACAAAAGTATGTTTGCTATTTTGTAAATATTTCTAACTAACAATAATTACAATAACTAACTAACTAAATGATAACAACATTTCTCCAACAAAACCTTTGTAATTTTTATGGTCTTACCCCAAGTATATTTTTTCATCCAATTTTAACATATATTATTTGCAAATTGTAAATTCATGCGTTTACCTTTTTCCCGGTTCACGTTGGTTTGACATTTTTTTTGTTGATGTGGCATGAAATGTCGAAGTATTATAAAAAAGTGGAAAAAATGATGAGAAGGAGGCTCAAACTTGAGACCTCTCGGGCTTATGCATCGTCTTACCGGTGAACCAAACAATATTTTTGTAATTAAAGCTGCTTTAATTACAAATATATATATATATATATATATATATATACACACACACACACACACACACTTAAATTACAAAAAATATATTTATAATTAAAGTAATATTACTTACAAAAATATTGTTTGGTTTATTGGTAAGGCGCATGCATACACCCGAGGTCTTGAGTTTTGCCTCATTCTCACAATTAGAGGTTGTTGTGATATGTGATCCGAGGTTAACACCGTCTCGATGTGGTTCCGTCTGAGTTAAGCCTTGTAATCACAACAATGAAGAAGCGACGTCAGTCGACGTCCGAGAGGTGGTCCCAGGATGAAGCTCCGATGATCTAGTTAGTTTGAGTGTATACGTGAGAATGTAGAGAATAGGGTTTTAGCTGTAAGGAAACGATCCCTTCCTCTGAAGGAGAAGGATTCATTTTATACATGTCATCCTTTGAGCATGATCCCAATCGTTTCCGTTGGCCTGGGCTGACAGGATGTGGAGAAGTCCCATTGGTGGATCCTGCATCACCAATAGTCCTCTCTGCTATTGGTGCAGAGGGAATAAAGGATAATGTTATGAGCATTAAACTTGTCGCCCTAGGGAGTGATCAATTGTGTTTTGGCTTATTATAGACTAGAGATTGTCGTCTGGAGTTGGACCTAGGCGCGAGAGCACCAAACACTAGGGTCCTAGCGTGAGGCTGGGTGGGCGAGGACTCGAGCCTGGCACTAGGCTGGTTAGCGGTCATTAGCTAGGTCATCCTAAAGTTAGCAGCGCTGTTATCTTTAACGTATTCCTAGAGGGATATGCTAACAAGTCTCCTAGGCTAGTAGGCGTAGGCATTGGCGCAGTGTAGCCAAGTCGTTCTAGCCTTCATTAGGACACGTGTTTGACGGAGATGGTTTGTATGTTCGACTGATGTGACGGAAATGTCAGCGCAGACGGTTTCATTATGAAGACAGTTCGATATTCCTGCTCCTCATTTAAACCTATCTCATCAAGAGCAGTTTTCTTCTCTCTTTTTTGTTCTCAACTGCTTCTGAATTGTATTTGCTTCTTCATTCTTCTCTATTGTGTTTGCACTAAAACAACAATGCAATTGATCGATGTGTAATCGATCCGACTCCAGAGTAGTTTGAGTCTCTGTAGCTCCGCTTTGGTTTCATGTCGGAGCACGGAGTTCAGTTTCCAAGAAAGGGGGCCACCATCTATCAGCCGTCGTTGGGTAAGGTCGGAGTCCCCATCCCAAACTTTGAAGCGGGGTTGCAGTTACCGACGACTGATTTCTTCGATGAAATCATGTGTCAGTATGCCTTTTCTGTGGACGATTTGACCCCTAACGTTGTGAACAAGATCATCGGGTTTGAACTGGCTTGCTGAGCACTTGGTGTTCTTCCTCAATTATGGTCATTTAAGGCTTACTTCAACTCGTCTATGCAGTCCAGTGTTCACACCTTCTCTTCGAGGTGAAACATCCATGCATTCATCATCAACCAGAAAGCGCCTAAGAAGAACTGGCTGGGACAAGTCGTTCTGGGTTAACAGCAACCTAGTTGGTTCTGGTTATCCCCGTTCGACCACTTTCTCTGACTGAGCATCGCAACTGTGGGGTTCCAGTCTGACAGGGGCACATGCATTGAGGAAGATCTGTTTCACCAGGGAAGATTGCATCTTGGTGGTGGTGGGAATGAGTGCCGCCTGGCGGGCCCGGGGGAAGATACCTCAATTATTTGTGAAATAGGATGGTGAGTACTCTTCTCCCCCCCCTTTGTTTTTGATTTTTTGGGAGAAGAGAGGGGTTTGCTAACCTGTTTGTTGTTTGTATTTACAGG